TCATACATTGGTTGAGAATCCACAAGAGAGAGAGGCTTTAGCTAACACATCAGGCCCCCTTGAGTGAGACCAAGCAGATTTTGCCCCTGATGTTTAAAGGAATGATAAAAAGATCTGAATATTTCTTGAATCAGTTCAGGTGGGTAATGTTTTTGGAACAGCTAATATAAGGAGCAGGTAGTCCAATGTCTAATTATGAGCTTATAAAGCTCTCTCATAGATGCTATCCATCAAGTATTTGAATTAAGCCCAACAATAAAAACAGTCATGGTCGAGTTGCACCACTAATTTGGCTCAGTAGAGAATCATGCAACTCATTGTGCTGAATTTTATATTTAGAAAAGAGTGACACTGATCTGGCTACATACATACATGACCTATGCTATCTTCAGGGTAAAGTTTACCCTGTGTTAGCTGCAACCAAATGAAAAGGCATTCTTATGGACAGTTTTGTCGATGAGTTACTTGGTGTTAGGAATATTTCTGTTGTTACCCGGTATGAAGTAGTAACTTCAAGACAGTCATTAGAGAAAATTAACCCATTTCAACAGCTGTTGTGGCGATATCTTAGATGGACTGTCCTACCCATGGACCTCAACTACGTCGAGCTAGAGCCGTGTCAAGGTTAATAAGCCACCCATACATCTTGGTGCTGTAATGTTACTGATATCCTGTGAAAGGGCAGAGTTATCCAGATCCACTTATTGTTTATATGCCACATCCTATGCCGATGCTGCATCCTGTATGGGTGGAACGAATCATCTCCTTTGTTTGTGGTTTGGTGGGGCTCTGGCAGAGGAAATGTACATGCTTTGCTGAGTACCAAAGTTGGTAAGGCTATTGGTTCCCATTAATGACTCAGCAAATGCCAGTAATCCAACAGCATCCATACTTTAACAAGAAGCAAAGTAGGCAAGACTATTTGTTTTTACCAACGTTTCAATCCAGGAAAACCACCAGCAGGCAGTAAATGCTGCTGTAACAGCTGTGAAAAACTAATACAGTCCAAGTTGAGTCTGACCACAGACTTCGAGGAGCACGGGTGGTTGCTTGCACTAAAGTGTTTAGTAGTCAGCCAACTCTCTGATCTTAGTGGAGTTTGAAACATACTTATGAGGGTACAAGGACGATAGGTCGAATTCCTAATTGACACAGGAGCAGTCATAACATTGATAGATTTTGATATATATCAAGCTCTCCAAGTGGGGTCTCTACTGTGGCCTGTGAATACTAACTTTGTTCCAGCAATTGGCCATAGTCTGGACATAAGTGGAGAAGCAGATCTCTGGCTGTGTCTATGAAATGTTTCTCACATAACAAAGGTAGTCATCTCTGATCTAAAATTGGAATAGATGTACTGCAAAAATTATCCATCAGTTTTGTGTGAGCAATGAGTGAACAGTGTTTGTATCCAGGAACAGTGAACTATATGAGTGTGTGTATTGAAAGGAATAACAATACTTGCATATACACAAATAGTGTTTATTTTTTTCTTATTCTAGACAATGTCTAGTGCACCATAATCCTGTAGCACAATTGTAGAAGCCATTCATGAAATGAACTGTATCTGTCCAGCAAGAAGGCAGCATAGCATTACTGATGAAGTGCTGATGTTTTTCTGTGATTATGGTCAATTGGCTATCCAGCTGTGTTCTGGAATGGTTATAGGGGTGGTAAACAAAGTAGAAGGTACCAGGACTAGCTGTAATGCAAGAGTTACACCCATTACACTTCACCCTAAAAGATGTATGTGACTACTAACGCATCTGAGATAGATGGCTGAGGATTGAGCAAACAACCTAGACCAAAAGCAGCAAAGGCAATTTAGTTACTTGTTGGATGAATAAACAAATTATTTGTGGAACCAGATAGATGATTGGGTCAAATAACATAGATAAAGAAGATACATATCTAATAAAGCAACCAATGTTCCAACTTTCCTAGAGCACTAGGGATGTAACAAATATTGAAATACAACAGCAAGATAGAGTCATACAACCTTTGGAGAGTGCTTGATTGTCTCTAGTAGTGATTATCAGGAAGAATTAAGGTATGCCAAAGTTCTATGTTGATTTTACATAAGTGAATATGCTAACTCACATTAACACCTTTCCTTTGCCACAAATAGATCAATGTGTGGATGTGTTGTTTCCACACTTAAAATATAGCATTTGGATACTGATAAATCGGGCTGAGTAAGGAAGGCAGGCTTCAAACTGTTTTTACTAAGGAAGATGGCATGCACGAGTTTTGTGGCATTTCATTTGGCCTGTGTAATGTGCCTGCCACTTTCAAGCAGCTAATGGAGTTTACATTGAAGAGGCTGCAATAAGAGAGTTGCCTTGTCTATGTTTTAGTATTGGGTTGCATGTTTGAATATATGGCTTAGAACCTGAAAATGTTATTCTAGCAGATAAATAAAACATGCTTGAAAATGAAACTAGAAAATTCTGTGCTTATGTGTACATAAGTGGAACTTCTTGCACATTGTAGGTAGATATTTTTAAAAGGTACAGAGTTTCATATAACATTTTATTAATGTTGTTACATTGCAAGGTGCATAAAAGTGCAGGCTATAAATTTATAAAGGAAGGGGAGAAGGCAACACGCAATATCAGACATAACATATTATTTTCCATAGCAAAGTCTGAATGACTCACACTGTGCAAAACTTTGCTGAGATTAGACACCGCCAATAAACATGTTACATGTGGAATAGTGATTATATGCCTTTGATGACATGAAGAACCTCTTCACAGACATGACCTTATTTCTAGCATTGGTTAAAACTAAAGATAAAAGATGGCCCTACAATGTACATAAGGAATTTCCCTTCCTGCTTTCACTCAAAGTCGCTTATGCACACCATATATTTTAACTGGAAAATTGGCAGCACCATCGAAAGTGCAATAAAATATTTTCTTGAATTCCACGTTATTTTTCATCAGCTCTCTGTTAAGTAAACTCATAATGTGAATCGAAACTGAAAACTGGCTCATGTTGTTGATATTTGATTATTCGTCAGCCATTATAAAATAATATTAGTTATTTAGTTCCGAGGTGTCACAATCATCTATAACTTCGACAGTGCAGGTCAGCGGATCGCAAGCTGTAGCTTTGCTTACATATGTCAAATGGTCGCTCTGACTTTCCACCTATTGCTTCAGAGTCATCTTGTAGCATAAGATGACGAGTAGTATGTGAGATTTCTTCTTTTGCTAAGAAGTAGACACTTCTCACAAACGCACAGACTGTTAAGGTTATTTCCATCAAAATTATACTTATAATTCAAATTATGATAATCCAGATGCATTATATTGTAC